GCAAATGGATTGAAATGTTTTTTTCTAGTGTTTCGTGTGAAGGCTCTGTAATGGTTAAACCTGTGCTCCCAGATTAGAACTGCATGTTCATGTGTAATGCTGCAGGTTTGGGTCAGTGCCCGCAAAGTGCTTCCTGCAGGGGGCCTTTGGTAGCCTTGACTTGCCATGAATGCAGATAGTGCTGGCTCTGACTTTGAGAGTCTTATGAGCCAGAATGAGGTCTTTAGAGCTTTGTGAGCAGCATTTATATAAATAAGCTCCAAATGTGCAAGTTATTAGCTTTGCTAAGTAACCTGTTAAAGTGAATTGTGCCTGATTTGTAGTCTCCTTTAATTAATTATTTGCTTTCTTGCTGTCTTAGTTATTCCTAACCGGTCTTTCCTTTTTCAATTGCAGTTCCTCTGTCTCAGGGACTTGGCATTTTACTTTATGATAACTATTCTTACGTATTTTCCTGTCAGTTTTTTACTGTTTTCTTTTCTACTCCTTGTTTTGCTCATTGTTCAGTTAGCCTGTGCACTGCATTTCTCCCATTTCACAGTGGTTGTTTTTCATTGCACATTCACAAGTCAGTAGAGCAGAAAACAGGCATGTACAGCTGAAATTACTCACGTATTAGAGTCTAGTTAATTACTCCTCCTTTTCTGTGTTTTTTAGTTTCAAAAATATACTCATGAAAATGTAAGACTTTTGCTGATATTTATTGAAATTATTTTATTGATATGGGAGGGTTTATATTTTTAATGTAACTTGTTACTTCAAAAGAGGTAACATGTTCTGTTTCTCCAAACTTGATAGATTATATTAGAGTCTCCAACTCAACAAGAATAGAAAAATAATTAATTGATTTTTGGAGAATATGAAAATACTATAAACTATAAAATTATAATTATATAATAACTATTGAAAGTTACAAAGAAAAAAGTTATATTCTATTGTAAAGACACAGTTTATCTTTGCATATAGTACCATCATCCATGTACATGTCTTAGAAGCCATATTGTACATAGTGCATCTTGTAGTTAACATGGTCTTTCTTGGTGTATTTATTTTATTGCAGTACGGAAAATGGTAATAATGGTTATCATAAAGAGCATTTATATGGTATACACAATCCTGTTTTTACAAGGTAAACCAAGTCTGAAACTGCATGCCTTCATGTGTCCTTACTTCAGCTTCTCTTTTAATCACATTTCCAATTTTCTCCATGCTTTAAAGTGAATCTCTTAATTCTCTGGGGGTTTTTTTGCATGATTATTCACTATAGCAAATGCAGTATAATGTATATTTCTCATATATTCTTTACTTAACACCAGGCATAGAAGTACTTTCCTGCAATTTTACAAAGTAATTGGTAAATTTGATCTTAAAATCCATGTAATCAGGTATTTAGTCAGCACAGTGGTTGGTCCTAAATTGACAAACCTATTAAAATGCTCTGATAGCAGATGAAAGTGATAGGATGGAAATGCATCCTGAGTAGTTTTATTTTGTAAATGGTGAGAAGAGATCTCCTGTGTAAAAGGCAAGTGTTCCAGGTGTGCAGGAAGCATGAGCATAGAAAATGGGTGTTTGTGCATGGGTGGGACTAGAATGTAGGAGAAGCTCAGGTTATGTTCAAAAAAAGGAGGATGTTGGAGTTACTTTCTGCCTCTGCAGCTGCTGTGCTGTAAAACATGAGCTAGCTGTAAGACTCAGTTTCCAGGGGGATAATACTCTATATCCCACAACTTCCTTATTTAGTTTTGCAAAATTTGCAAGTTGCTTAAGAACAGTTTAAATTTATTATTAAAATCTGTAGCTCACTGTGCCTGCCTTTGCATCTTCATTACTGAAGGTATAGGTTGAGTGCTTGTAGAGAAGATAGCACTATGCTTTAAATAACAGGTGAATAGAGAGAGCTCAGAGTTTGGGTCTTGAAGAGTTCATGGTTACATCTGATGATGATTATGACAATGAGGATGGCTGTTACTATTATTTGGGACTGTATTTTACAATAATTATTTACTGACCAAATCTGCATTCCCTATATCTCCTTCTGAAGGAAGTCTTTATATAAGAATATTTTTAGTGATATTTATGATCACAATTGTTATGGTCTGCTCTGCAGCTAAAGGGTGCTTACTCCCCACATTAACTGATGAGGAGTTTAAGTCCAAAAAAATCTCCATTGGCATGTCTGAGGACTTTCCATATTTTACATAAGAGAAAATTAATAATTTCCCAGGCCTTAGAATTCCTTTTCAGATCTTTGAATCTTTAATATGACTTTTAAAATTCTTGAGGTTCATAGCATGTTTTCTTACAATATTTCAGTCATTGATAAATAGTTTAATTCAGCATTGCTGAACAACCTCAAAATTACTAGCATAAAATGATCTTTTACACAAAGATACACTAGTTCAATCCTGACTTATTTTGATAAAATGCTAAAATTTAAAGATTCAGTTTGATGCAGTGCTGTCTTCTGATGTGCTAATTTGAGGTAATTTGAAAAACTGCTCATTATGGCATACATGCTTTGAATTTCTCAGTGTGGCATTCCCATATGAATAAAATCAAATTTCAGCATACTCTTTGCTTTTATGGTATCCTTGATTTTTCTCATTTCCTGCAAATTATTTTTGGATATACTTTGAAAGACATTACTTTGATTAGATCTCTGTACACCTATACTCTTGCAGATTTAAGGAGTGCCTGCCATAGGGTTGGGCTTGGGGTTTTTTTATCCTTCAAAATCAGCTGGATAATTTTGCTGAAAAGAAATGCAAATATTTTTATAACAGTAAGATATCTAAGTACAAGTAAGAGCTACACGAGGTATATATGTCTCACACAGGTATTTTTATACACAAAGACACAAATAACCTCAAACGCAGCCACCATTTTTGTGAGAGCAAAACATGAGGCTGGATTAAATTTACAAAAGAGGGGTGTTGAATGGGCAATCCAAGTATTTATTTCCACAATGAAATAAAAATAACCTGAGACACGGGTGGAGAAAACCATGAATCTGTTTCCTCTTGATTGAAAAATACTTGATTAAATGAGTAAAGCATTGAGACTAAGGCCAGCTGAGCTTGTCTCACCCAAGTTAGACACAGTATTTCTTTTCTATTTGTGGACAAAAGAAAATAATGAGTTTATTTAATGTGTTTTTTCTTCTTTTTCTCGTGTAGCTCTGTGGAACAGTGGTAGCACATACTGGAAATGTTGAGGGGTAAGTAATAAATCAATTCTAGACCTATTACTACTTTACTATTTTAGGAAGGCTGCTCTGATTGCTGCAACAGGAGTATGCTGTAAGGTCTAAACCCAAGAGAAGTTATTCAGTCATATTGATGTTTGTATTAAAATATACCCCTTCATTGTGTTTAAATTAGACAGAAATTCAGTATTTATAAATTTTTTCCTGAATTGTTTTTTGTTCTTATTTCCAGGCTATATAAATGAGGCTCAAGACTCTTCTATGGGAGTACATCATTGTTCTTCCAAGGGTGTTGGCATTTCCATTCATCTGACAGATCCTGAGCCACTTGTTTTATGTCAGCTGTACTGTAAATCCCAAATGTACTATTGAATGTTATGCCATAAACTACTGTACAGAATATTTTGTGATCAGGGCACTGCCTCTCAAATACCACTGTTCAAGGCTTGGATTAAAATGTTTTTTTTGGTTTTTTACTTTTTTACACTGGGCTTTCTACCTTACATCACAGTATATAAATTAATTAGATTAACAGCCTTTGCCTAGCAATTCTCTTAAAATTGTTCAAGTTCTTATCTTAAATTGTTGATTTGTGTTAAATACAGTACGTACACGTTTACATAAAAATACATTTTGTATGCCAGAGACTTTTGTATATACATTTTTCTTAAAACTTCTAAGTGTTTAGTTAAGATTTTAATATTGTATAATACTCTTCACAAATGAATTTACCAGCATGATCAGTGTTGCTATTTGGTGCTCTTGAATGACTACATTGGACTAAATTTGGATTGTAATGGGGTCCACAGTGTCTCTTTGTGTGTCTGAGAAGCTCAGTTGCAGTTTTGTCAGTTTTGTTTTCTCCCTCTATTCTTTTCTTTTTTTTTTTCTTTTCCTAATTATTTAATATTTAGTGGGTTTTGCTGTATAGATCTGAAAGGGACTTTTTGGAGAAGTTTGTTTTTAAACTTTGGGTGGGAGGGTTGGGGGTGTGTGGGATGCATAATATAGTGAAAAAGCTAAGCTTTCTAGAGTTCAGTAGTACTCAAAAAGAGCATGAGGGATGTCCTATGTTGGCAGTTTTTGGAATGCTTTACCTTCTCTAACTTCCTTTTCTTCTTTCACACCCACTTCTGTAATGTCCTTAATAGTATCACTGTGACTCTTTTGGAGGCAGTGGTAGTATTTTTGCTAAATAATACTATACTGTGATTTACAATATTGAAATTCAAGTCTGTTTAGCAATTGGAGTTAACATTTGTACTGTTAGAGTTATTTCACCGAATTTAGGCAAATGGTTGAATTGCTGAACTAGTTAACAGTAGACTTTATCAACAAGGCCAAAACTGTTACCAGTGTAAAACCTTCTGGCAGGTGAAGTAGTCAATATATTGATCTAAAATAGTATCTCTTCATCTATCAGCATTGTTAACTTTGTTTCAAACAGGGTTCATTGTCTTGAAGTAGAGATAATCCTGTACATCATTATTATAATTTTAAAGAAATGCTGAAAAATGATACCAGTCTCTAATCTGGAATAACCTTAAATTTTTCATTTTTATGTCATAAATGGAAACATTTCTAATTGACAGTATGTAGCATATGTGTATATGTAATGTTCAGAATTGCAGATTTTTAAAAGTTTCTATTTTTAATTTGAGAAGATATTCCCAGTTCATTTAAATAAAACAGATCTTGCTTAACTACCTTATGCTTGGTTCTCCCTTGTTTTGTTGCAGAGCCATCTCTCAGAAGGGCTGCACAGAGTTAAAAATCTTATGAGAGTGAATTTCCTTACCCTGATTAAAAATCTTTGCTACATTTGACTTTTACAGCAGGAAGGACTGGAAGAACTTTGACTCTGGGTGAGGGAGCTTCCAACTTCCACCAAGAATGTGAATTATGCAAAGGTGGTAGGATTCAGGCTGTGAGCTATGCAGGATATCTGTTTCTGTATGGCACTGGCAGCAGAATTAAACATTTGCTAGTTCTTCAGCTCTCACAGTTCACTGCTGGCATCCTAACTTACCTTGTTAAAGGACAGTTGTTTTCTACTGATATGAGAGATCACAAACTGTTCAATCTGAAGCACAAGCAGACAGGACTGAAATGTCAGATTAGAATGAGCCAAACACTTGGTGGGAACATAGCAGCTGTAGCACATAAATATATTTGAGTCCAAGCTTTGATATTTCTCCTTATCCTTGTGGTTTATTTGTTCTCATGATTAGACTTGAAAAGCTTTGAGAACAAGAGATCTGAAACTGGTATAAATTAACTTTTGAATTGCTTTTGACTCTTCAGCAAATCTAAAAATTCTTGGTGCTGTTGTGCATAACAAAGTGTAAACAATACATTTTTTTGTCAAATATTAGGAGGCATTCACGTGCATGCAGTAGGGATTTGAGGTGGCTAACAAAATTCCTCTGGCTGGCTGGCAGTAGGGTTAGAAGACTCCCCAGAAAACAATGGAAGAGTGAATGGTAAATGCCATTGTTGTCCTAAGGCTTGGCTGGAGCCACACCACTGTGCCTGGAAGGAGAGAGGAGAACTAATGGAAAGAAGCTAGAGATGAGGCTTCTGCTAAAAAATGTTATTAAAATAGCTGTGGAGAGGGAATGAAAAGAAATCAAGGTTATTCTCTCTGTCAAATGGTATTTAGTCATGAGAAGCTGATGGCGCACTGACTGGAGGAGCAAGGTTAGGGTACCCAGAGTGGCTGTGCAGGTGGCTGCTGCTTCAAGCAGGCAGCTTTCAGGTTATCTGAGCTGCCACTCTTGTCCCTCTTCTATTAATGAAGCTTTTGTTGTTGCTGATGATGTTCTGCTTTGCCATCTGTGTTAAAAGGAATGGTTTTGCCTCAGTATTTTGTTTAGCACTACCTAGTGAATGACTAAATACACAAACTGCTGTTCTGTTCCTTTATGTATGGGCAGTCTCAAACCCAGGGTTTCCAGCACCCCACAGTTACTGCAGCATTCCTGAACAATCCAAGAGCCCTTTCCAGGAGCTGTCAGGTCAGGCTGACTGTAGCAGAGATGTCTTTGGAAGAAGTGCCTAGTGGGGGTCTCACTACCCAGAAAAGTACTGTGGATTGCCACAGCAGGAGAGGGATTTTTCCTCATGGCCTTCTGAATGCTAAGGGAGTTACAGTGATTTTTTTCCTTAGCTCTGTTTTTAGTTAGTGCAGCAGAAACTGCTAGGACAGGATTCTGCACTACAGTATTTCTGTCGTCCTGCCTTTGTTTTACAGCATTTTTACAGCTCACTTGTAAACAGGAAAATATCTATTTAAAAAAAAGAAAGTGATGAAGTGCAAATACCTGTCTGACATGCTCTGTAGTCTGTTCCCTGCTGCTGAGAACTGTGATAAGTTATTCTGCTGTCTTGCTATGTTGGCTAAAAGTGACTGGTGATGTGAAAATGATCATAAAACTTCCAGATGTTTGGTATTTTTTTAGACTGGTAATACCTTATTTTGCTTAAGCTTTATTTCTTTTCTATGTGTACATACGTGGCTCAAAGAATGTGCAGCTGATCCTTCCATGCATCCCCAGTGCATGTCATGTGTGGACAAAAGGAAGAGATGAAGTTGCATCCTTACTGTGACAATCCACAGAAAGCCTATCCCACAAATCAGCTTTTTTACCAGGACACTTACACTACCAGGACATTTATAATCACCCAGATGCAGAGATTGCTTTGGTACTTACATCTTTTTTTTACTTTGATATCATCTTACAAGCTCTAGCATGAAGATAGCTATAAAGCAGCTGGAGAATGGAAAATATCTGTTAAAAATCAAATATGACATGTTCATCCTGCATAGGAATGTGCTTCTCAGTTATACAACTGTTGTTCTGTGTTTTAACTGCATTTACAAGACTTGTCTTGTTACCTTCTTGGGACTTCACACTCCCAAGGTTATTTCACACTCCTTCAGGCTATAAATTATGGGCATTTGCCTACTGAAGTGTGATTTATTATTTTCATAAAAATGCCCAACCCTTACATCCCTTGTTTAGCTGGAAAGAGGCTTCTTTGTGCCCCAAGACTTTAAATTGTGAGCAGCCATTTACTCACTGCTTTTACTTCTCTGGGTCGTGTTGTTCAAGGATCTCAGTTCCCTCCTCTCACCATGAAGAGTTTTGCTCTCCTTTTCCTAGTTGTGATCTGTGGCATGGGAGGACTGGGACAGAAGCTGAAGCCAAAGAAAAGAAGCAACGGTGAAGAAATCAAATTTCGGACTAAAACCAAAGATGTTTGCACAATAACCACGAGTGGCGATGACGAGGAGATGAAACTTAGAATTGAATGCAAAAGCCAAGGCTTGTCCTACTGGTGTGAATTCAGTGGCAAGCCATCAGTCTGTCGTGCTTTCAGAAATAACCCAAAGATCTACTGGAATCAGATCGCAGCAGAGCTCAGAAAGGTCCCGCACGCTTGCGAACCCATGGAAGTGTTGAAGACCACCATGTGCCAAAAGGCTCCCCCAGAGGCTCTCATGAGGCAAATAGCTGCTGGAATGGAGCCAGAAGAGATAGCAAACCAGGAAAAATCAGTGCAGAAAGCCTCCATTCCTATGAGAGAAGCAGGGCAAAACTCTGACCCAGCCCAACATGGTCAAGGGTCTGGAATTGAAACAGAAGCAATGAAGCTGGCACGGGAGCACTGCTGGGAATCTCTGCATGGTGTCTGCTCCTACATCATTGGCATTCTTAGGGGCTAAGGATTTGCTTCAGGTAAAACTAATCTGGAAGCACAGCAGAATATACCTAAGAGTAATTCTGTTCTATAATTTTTTTTTTTTGGGGGGGGTCTCCAGGATGTGGACAGGGAGGTGCTAAGCTCACTTGCTAAAATCTAGCATTACAAGTCTTCTGGGGGCTGGACAGCTTAAATTTCCAGTGATCCATATTGGTTCAGGACTCCTGTAAAACCTCCTGTGAGGTCTTCAGTATGTACTGACGTGTTTGCCCTATCTGTTATTAATCTACGGTATTTCAGTTCTAACTGTTGGAATTGGGCTGATTTTTGCCTTCTGTCACTCCTTTCCTCTTGTGCTGCCTTCTGGATTTACACCAGGGAAGTACAACAACTAACAAATGCATCATATCCAGCCAACTGCATCAGTTAGAACAAACTGCATTCAGAGGCTGAGGGAATAAAGCTTATTCATCAAAACTGCTGGTTAATAATGAAATATTTTAATCTAAAATATTAGTTCATAAATCCCTTGCAGAAAACCCAAGTGGACTGTCTTGGTTTGCGAGTCTGTTACTGTAGAGCAATAGGGGATCCACATGCAGGCTTTTGTTTGGTAAGTCTTAGGTTTTCAGCCAGCATTTAAAAAGGCAAAGCCCTTTATTGCAGAAGTGATTGGTTTTATATCCACTCCTGTTCCAGCTCAGAGAGAAAGCCAGGAGCTGATAAGTGGACTTGGCAAACTTGTAAGAAATGGGAATATGTGCAGTGTGAGCTGGCAAGTGTTTAGGCTGCTAATGATAATTTATGTCTAATACAGCAAAGTGACTAATTTTCTTTTTTTTTTTTTTTTTTTTGTTTTGCAGAGCAGTGGTATTACCGCTGAAGGAGGGTCCTTGCTGCATTGTAATAATTTAGACATAAGAATATTGGTTAAAAATCAGTGTTTTCTATAAATCTTTTAGCTGTTTCTTTTTTAAAGAAAAAATGAAACTTTTTAAAAGCTCTGAAAAATTCACAAAACTGGAGTGACTGTGCTTAAAGTGTAAGGATGAACCAACTGCCCTTAGGTTTGTTACACACCTGGGTGTGCTGCATTTATGTAACCTAGGATCTGCTTGACCTTGCATAGGTTTTTGTGTGTATTGACTTGCTTCAGTTTGTTAGAGATGAAAGCTGTTAATGATGATACAGTTAGTGCAAAAAATAAAAACAAGATTTTTTTGAAAAGGTACTTGGTGTGCTTTCTTGAAATTTTAGCTGGTGCTGTTTGTATAAAGTCACAGTATTTGACACTTTATTTCTTAAGAGATTGTTGGTAGAATGTGTAAGAGAAATTAGAGGTCTGAGTCACTGCTTTCCCACTGTGAACAAGTTTGCATGAATATTAATACTCTCAATGTTATGAGGTTTATATTACAAGAATGAGTTTCGGCCAGCAGGAAAAAAGACCTGTTGAAATCAGAGAGTAATGTAAGAATATATTTTTCAACATAGCAGATGAAAAGTGTTCACCAGTGATGCATCTGCAGAGTTCAGTGTTACCAGGACCTGTTAGTGGTACTATTAATGTTTGGTTTCAGTAGATATTCTGAAAAGTAACTTACCTGGCAGCTTGGGCACTTGCCTAAATCTCCTCAAAACACAAAACGAGATCTAATGGCCTTTTGTCATATTACAACACAGTCATGTTCAGATTATTATTTAACAATGATTCCTTTTGTTCCCAAGTAAGTTTCACAGCAGGGATGTGACTGGAAATTCTTCATACTGCAGAATTTAACAGTGCTCTGTGTTTGCCTTGCAATGTTTCTGCAAGGTATTGTTGACTGAAGTACTTCTGCAGCTTTACTCAGATTTGTAATTTTCACTACACAATTCCAGATCATGATTATCCAATCATTAAACCTTATGCCTTGTACCAAAAACTTGAAATCAATTTCTTTCACCTAACCTCTTGATAAATATGGCAAAGAATAGCAAGTAATGAACACAGGATCAGAGCAGGAGGTTGTATGTACAAGGCAGAAATATAATTTGAATGCAGATAAAATGTGTAAGCTGTGTTTTTCTCTGCCATGAATGCAATGTGGTTAATTTTCTTTTGTGATCTCAGTTATCATTGCCAGGCTGTTTTGCTGTGAGTAAAAAATGTAGTAGTACACCTACTCACCTAATTCTGTCATAGAAATTAATATAATTGTCTGATTTGCAAACATGCAGAATGCATCAAAGTGATACTAGGAAACTGTTTGCAATGTTAAGGGGAGGTTGAGGATTTTCTTGAGGTGTGCTTTTAAATATTTTTAAACTCCTATTACATATGATGTAAAATCCACTCTGCAGAGTGAGTATTTTGCAGTAGTATCCACAGCAGGAATGACTTCAAAAATGAGACAGTGACTTGCATTGGGAGAAATCTGGGACTATTGGTCACCCACCATACTGTTAGTGGGAGAAAAGAAGAGGTTTCACCTGTTCACCAAAAGAACATTTTCCCCTTCATGCCATCTTCTCTTTGTGTACACAGTGAGCTCAGGAGGCAGCAGAGTTGTCTGTCACTTTGAAGAACTGTTGATATAGTCTAAAATTTGTGGCCATCACTAATTGTGCCCAGCAGAGGACAATGTCACACCCCAGCACACTGTTTCCCAGGGACCTTGTGTCTCATTTCAGTAGAGCAGGGCTCTGTACTCTGCTGCCTGGAATGACCACCTGAAATTTCACTGTTGAAAGCAGAAATTCAAGTCTTGCACTAAAGGCTTCCCTTTAACAAAATGCTTTTTGTAACATGCTCAGGACCATAGTTGAGCACCACCTTTTAGAAAGAGGTGAAGGTGATGCATGCCATGGACTGCATTTCATTGACAATGCTATGCAAGCCTCAGCAAATCACTTAAATATAATGATCTTGTTTCAAAATGTTTAAAAATTGGATGTTAACTGAAATACCCCACTTCAGTGTAACAGCACTGTGACTGTATTGTCTACCTTGCCATGTAATTGTGTTTAGCACCAGAAATGTACAGTCATGACATTTCAGTTTCCTTCTGAGTATGAAAGTTCTATTCATTAATGAAAGGATGAATTGAGAAGTGTTTGTGGTGAGTTTAGTGCAATCTTTGGGTGCCTCATGAAAGAATTCATGAAACTTGCTGTTTCATTCCTTTTAGGTGAACTAGTTAGTCCTGTATATGTAAGTACCTCAGGAAATCCATCCAAGTGGAGGTGGAATTGTCTTTATTTTCCTGACAGAGGAGCAGCAGGCAAAAAAGTTTGTCTGGATTCCTGCAGGCAGGGAGACCATTGATACCCTGGCCTGCTATGTCTGCTGTTAATTCAGTGCAATGTAAGGTATCCACCTGCCTCAGAGTCCTTATGTTCAGGCTTCCAGGGAAGCATTCCAAGTACTTGCTACTTTGATAATGGAAGCCTCCAAATAAAAAAGCAAAATCAAGCATTTGGAGAACCTGTGTAGGCAAGGATGTGTGTTTGACACACGAAGTTAAGATCCAAAAAAGACTGGAGTGAGTCTAATGGAGAGCTGTCCAGATGGTCAGGACTGGAGCACCCTCCTGTGAGAAAAGGCCAAGGGAATGGGTTTGTTCAGCCTGAGACTTGGGGAGGAACTTAATAGCCCACCCTCAATCCATGTGAGAAAGCTACAGAGAATACAGAGCCAGGCTCTTCACTGATGTGTGTGATAGGAGGAGAGATGCTGGTCAAAAATTCATAGAGGTGAGGTTCTGATTAAGTGAAAGGGACAACATAAGCAGGATAAATGCAGGATTCCTCAGAGCTGCTCTGGAATCTCCATCTGTGGAGCTTTTCAAGTCGAACTGGACAAAGTTTAAAGCAGCATACTCTGAGTTGATGTCAGCTGTGCAGTAGTGCACTCTGGTGTTTTCTGAGAGAATTGTTTAGGTGTGTTCTCTGGTCATTCTTGCATTGTATGCAGCATTAGGTTTTGCATTCTTGACTTTTCAGTAGATGTCATAGTTTATATGACATGGATTTAAGGCACAGATACCTCTCACAAAAGGACAAGGGAAAAACTAAAATTTCCCCAAAGTTTCCCACTGCTGTTCCTGCTTCTGTAGAAGCTTTGTGTTTGTCTCTTCTGTTTCTCTTGCTGTTGCTTTTCCCGGTCTCTGCTTTCTTCTTGGAAGCCAGGCACACCACAGATTTTTTTTTTTAATTCTCTGCTTTTCTTCTTGCAAATGAGAATTGTTCTAATCAGACTTCACAGATCATTTTACAGTGGCAAAAAGTTATGTGGTGCATAGATAGAAGTGGTATATACAAGAACAGGAGTAAGAACTCAGAGTGGAGGAGGTGCAGTCAGTAGATGACAGGACATTGATATTATCTCACAAACATGTTGTTTGCTTTCCCATCTTGAATACAAATTAAACTGCTTGAATGACAGGCAGGAGGCCAGGTCTGGATTTATGCTGCCATATGTACAGAGCAAGAATAAATTAGGCAGATGTGTGATGTGGAGAGGAAGTTGGTGCTCCCCTCCCTGCCCTCCTCAGCAGGTTATGGAGCTGTTTGTGTAACCCCTGCTCACCACAGCCCCCTCCCATGGGGGCTCCTGCTGCCCCAGGGCTCACAATGGCCGTAGTCAGGCAGGGGAACAGAGGTGTCCTTTGAGATTCTGCTGGCTGCAGATGTAAAAACCCTGCATTGCTCTGTCACTGCTGCTGTGGCCCCTAAAAATTAATGTGCTGGTGCTGACATTGGTCGCCCCTTTATTTGTCTTGCTGGTGTAACATGAGGGCACTCCAACAAATGCAGCTGTAATGAAGTGAGGAATGTGCCTAGGGACTAGGCTGGGAGCTCCACAAGGAAGGAAATGGTGAGCAAAATTCAAGCTCTGACCTCTCCATTTCCTCTGCCAAACAGCCCAGCAGGAGGGCAGGAGTGCTGCCCCTATCCTCCCCTCTCACCCCACTCCAACGTGGGTGCTCTCAGAGAGACACTGAGATGATCCCCTGTTTCTTACACTCCAGAAATTTACAATACAAATCTCCCATCTGAATGCAGCAGTGTTTCTCTGGTTTAGTTAAGCTTATACTTAATTAAAACCATTACTCTTTCACTTCTTTCTGTTCATTGCCTTGAATATAATGGTTTGGAGAAGGAACAAAAAGCTGATAAGGAGAGGAACAAAAATAATATTTAAAACCTAGTGGTTTTATATTTTAAAAAAGCCTTGTACAAATACTAAGCAGCTAGTCTGGAGTAGCTGGCTCAACAGAGAACACATTGATGGGTTAACAGGAAAGGGCCTTTGATGATGCCAAGGTTTCACTGATTATTCCAAAACTAAAATTTACAAGTGTCTATATGGCAAGAAGACAGCAATGAATAAAGTGGCTTTTACCCTTTATGTAATACTTAAATAAATTATCGTTTAAATTATTTTGTGAGATAATTTCATTAGTTTTGTTGACCTTCAAAAATCTCTTTTTGTCTTTTCAGAAGCTGTCCAAATGTTGCAGTTTTTATTCTTGACCCTGCCTGGTGTACCCCATCTCACCACAGCAGTGGGTCAGCCATTGAGCCCTGTTTGGGTGTAGACCATACAGAACACTTTAGTCAGCAGCTTGACCTACTTTGGAGCAGTTTTAGACTTTTAGTGGTGCTGAAATGAGGCAGGTCTAAGGGTACTTTGCTGAGCTCAACTACACTGTAAAATACCATTGTCAAAAGGAATTGGGTAGCTCCATTTATTTTCAGATCTGAGGTCAAATCCTGACCTAGCACCACTGTTCACCAGTAAACCACATCCCCGAGTGCCACATCCACATGGCTTTTGAACACTTTCAGGGGTGGTGATGCCACCACTTCCCTGGGCAGTCTGTACCTGTACCGTCTGTACCTGTACCTGAACAACCTTTCAGTGAAGAAATTTTTCCCAATATCCAATCTAAACCTCTGGCAGAACTTGTGGCTATGACCTCCTGTTCTGTCACTTGTTACCTGGAAGCAGAGGCCACCCTCACCTGGCTACCACCTCCTTTCAGGGAGTTCTAAAGAGTGATAAGGACTCCCCTGAGCCTCCTTTTCTCCACACTAAACACTCCCACCTTCCTCAGCTGCTCCTCATGGAACTTCTGCTCCAGACCCTTCCCCAGCTCCACTGCTCATCTCTGGACATGCTCCAGCCCCTCAGCATCTTCCTTGCAGTGAGGGGCCCAA